AGTAATCTTTATTAGTAATCTTTATTTATATACCGCCTTTTTCACTGCAGATCTGGCCTACTTTTTAATTCATTTTGAAATGAAATGTGCCAACGCTTTATCAAATACATTGGAAATCACCCCTTCCTATTTATAGGGGGCATTTCTTTATCCACGGGCCACAGAACAACGGCATATATACTGCTGCTGCAGGAGGTTACTGGGTCCGCGCTGAGTCTCTGCGCTGGTCTCTCCTATGGATCTATACGGGTCTGCGCTGGTGTCTCCCATGGATCTATACGGGTCCGCGCTGGTCTCTCCTATGGATCTATACAAGTCTGCGCTGGTCTCTCCCATGGATCCATACGGGTCCGCGCTGGTCTCTCAAGTCTGGTCTATGCGGTCTCTCTTCGGTCCGCGCTGGTCTCTGCGCACCGGTCTCTCCAGTCAGGTGTCTCCAGTCTATGCGGTCTCTCCTGTCCGCGCTGGTTTCTGTGTGCTGGTCACTCCAGTCTCTCCTCGGGTCTGCATTGGTCTCAGCGCTGGTCCGCGCTGGATCTCCTCCCAGGGTCCAAAATATTTTGAGATTAATCTCAAAACATTTTGAGATTCATCTTTAAAATAATACATAATATATTTTTAAATTAAGCTCATAACATTTTGAGATTAATCTCATCATATTCTTAGATTAATCTCATAATTTTGCTAGTTCGACTTTATAATCATAATATTTCGACTTTTAAGTCAACATTTTATAACTTTATTCTCAGTCTGGCAAAAGCCTGCTTTAGGCCTGTTGCTGTTTCCTCTGGCGTCTGCACACGGCCCTGCAGTCCCTTATATGGGCATTAGTGGGCGGTTACTTATGCTAAGTACCTATGGTAATGAAGCACCGGGCACGCGCGCTCTACTTTCGAGGAAATGGGATTCATCAATCTGAGAGAACAGCTGCGAACAATTCAGCGGCTTACGAGTGCGTTGATGAATCCCACGTGGGGACTTCTTAGAAATCTACTTAAGGACAACTTGAGAAGAAAGTTGAGTAGTTTCTTACGAAGTTATTCGTGAATGAGGCCCAGTGTTATTCAGGGCTGGACAGAACAAAAAACAACCCGAGCATTTTTGCCTCTTTGACAGCTTATTTTTACGGTTATTTATACGGTATGCAGAAGCACGTATCAGGATGCATGCATTTTCAACAATTAAATTAAAGTGCAATAGTCTACATTACAAGAGAGTAATACACATGTCACTACAGAGAGGGAGATGGCCTTAGACCAAAACTACTGTTGTTTGTTACAGGGATGAGAATGGGACATTTCAAAAAAGTCTGAATTGCACAAATCTGTTTAATTTGTTTTTTTTACTTTTGGGCACAACCAACATGAACTCTTAATGCAAGGGAAAATGTATGTACCCCAGCTTTAATTTAGTGAGCTTAGTTGCGCTTTGGGAGGAGACACAGGGGAGACACAACATGGTCCAGTGCGCGTATATGGTCTTGGGTACATGATACCAATTTATATTAGAAAATAACTACTAAAGGTTTTAAAACCTTTCTCTTTTTTTGTCTGATCCCCCAAATCGAGAAAAGACCATAGCAATGGCAATAAAAACCAAACCAAACCAAACCAGCGCTTCTCCCTTGGTTATGTCACTGTGGGCACCTGTATGATCCGGAAGTATATGTCCTCCATGTTATCACGCTTGTTTACATTTTGTTCGTCTATTTCTAGCACTAAATATTCAAGACGACAAGAAGATGTGTTGCGATGTACTGCTCACAGGTGCACAATAGGCCTCAGGCCAAAGGAGAAGAGGAGGCTTTGGACGGAAGAGGAAGAAGAGGAAAGAGGAAGAAGACTGTTTTAAAGTCGAGGAGGATGGACTTGATCACAGCCTCGGTGAGAACGGCCAACAAACTTCAACAAGTTGCAGAACTACGGGACCCTCTCTTTCTTTGGCTCTGGAGCGACACACTCCCCTGCACCCCTTCGACCAGGGTCCGGGGCTTATATGAAAGGTTTAACACAAGGGGAGAATACGAAAGTGACGTGTGTGAAAATGCCCGTAACAACGGAAGACGTAATGTGACACACAATATCAAGTCCCCACCACCCGCCATACTGACTTTACATCATCTGGGCTTTACAAAGCGGGCCTTTGCCCAAGTCTTCAAGCATACCTGGGCGCGGTTGAGGCTATTGTGCCCAAGCCCACTTGCCGCGGTCACATAGCACTTAAAGCCCGGATCTAATCGCAAAGTGGGCCCCGGCCCACTTAAACCGGGCTTTAGGCTGTGCATGTGACCGCAGCAATAGACAAGGTTTTTTCAGAATCACTGTCCATTTTGAATGAGCTGGTACCCGCTGTGATGTCACACTTCCAGGTGTGAGGTTTTTAGACTTAGACAGACTTTAATGATCCACAAAGGAAATTGCGTTAGTATGCATAGTATTCCACAATAAACATAAAAATTTTATTAAGTCTTCCTTTAATCCACTGAGATAGAAGTGGTTTTGGGATCTGTACTCACAGACTGAGGCTCCCTGTTAGCATCATGTGGTGAATAACACCAGGTTTTGAGATCAGCTTTTGAGTAGGTCCTGTTTCAAGGTAGTAGTAGTTCTGGAACAGTCTTTGGTGGTGTCACGTCACTCGCAGAAAAACCTCGGTGAGTTTCGTTGAGGATTTCAGACTTGTGGATTTAGGGCACATACCCGTGAACAAAATTGATCCCTGTTCCCAAAAGGGAAGGTCTATGTAAATTTCACCATTGTGAGATCAATAAAGTTCATCTTATCTTATCTTATAGCACTGTAACTGTGTCGCACTCACCTATTTGGGCTTCAAAACTCCGTATACTATCTTGATCAACCAGATGCTTTTATTTCCTGGGGAAACTAACTTTACAGCTTACCTTAGCAACCATCTTCACAACTCATCAACCTTATTGGAGCCATATGAAATATGTTCAAATCCGCGCCTTCGGCATTTGGCAACAAACATTATAATAACGTCGGCACTTGGTGAGTCCACCAGTCTATGATCATATCATTTACTTGGATTTGGTTAAAAGATAGACATACAAACTAAATGTCAGAAAATATTATTTAAGAGTATAACAGTATGATATAATTTTATTATTAGTTTAACGTCCCTCTCTCTCATGGCCTTAGCTCTGCTTTTACTTTGGCTATAATTTACTGTGTGTTTAAAGACGGCCCGGTCATCCGCGTCCGGAGAGCCATAACTGTCAGAGCGCTCCATCCTTTCTCCTCGCTGTGCTTTAATAGCTGCGGTCACTGGCAAATGGGAGAAAAGAACCACACGACCAAAAGGGGCCTTAAAGGAGCTATACCTGTTTCTGCAATGTTTTTTTAGTTTGAATGTTTAGCACCGTCCCCCAACTCGCTCACAAGCTTCGCATGTCCCCTACGCTCTCCTCCCACGAAGCCATCTAGTTTTATTTGTGATCTGATACGTATGAAAACATTTGCATTAGTGCAACTTTTTGTAAGCTATGCAACAACCACTGATGAAATGGCTGAAAAGCAACGCACTGCTAACAAAATATAAAACTGAAAGATTACCGCTAGTTTCGCGTCCATACGAGGCGGTCCCATTCCCGCAAGTCTCTTCCTTGTAGATCCATGGTCTCTCCAGAGGATACGATGTAAGCTAGCTATGTTCACCCGGGCTTAATTTCTTCTTTGGTCATTTTTCGCTTTAGTTCCCTCTTCTCTTCCTCACTGTTGCGTTGTTTGGGCTGTTTTGCTGTGTCTGCAGTTACAGCCAGAGGAGTTATAGCCACTCTCTGCTAAAACATGCCGTTGTGTTTACCTGCACTGCAGACGCAAGAGGAGGCAGCCTGATTGTAACAGCACCGCTCCTCGTTCTGTGATTGGAGGAGAACTAACATCACGCTAAGTTTCTACTCAGCACCTCTTACGGACTGAATTTAGACACAAGCTGAATCAATGAGCTCAAGTTTTCAATTAAATTATGGATTTTAATACAACTTGTATGTATTAATACGCATTTTCATGAATTCATTAGAAAATAAATCGACTATAGCTTCTTTAATCCCCCACCGGACGGACACCAGCACCAAGACTGCATCAGGGTACAACCAAAACAGAACAGTGGAAAACATATCCACCAATTGCACAAGGCTTTTTCAATAGAGACCAACAGAAAAAATGACAGCTGTGTGCATTTAAAGCAGATATTATGCTAAATTGCACCTCCGCCCCTTCTGTCTAATAGTCTAAAATATTCAAACCTGGTACGATATGACCCATGTTGGGGGTAATTTTGGTCAGTAACAAGAAATCTAGATTATTACTTTAAGCATTCATTTTTTAGAATGAAATATAGATTGTTAAATATGGATAAACATGTAAAATGAATAGGGAAATAAGTAATGAACAACTAATAATCAGCAGTGGAAAATTGCGTTCTGTCCATCTACACTGCAATTAAACATAGAATGTATATAGATGGACAATGCTTACCCAAGAGCTCAATAAAACCCAATAGGGAAGTGCTCATTGACAAAGTTTTGTTCACTTATCTTGAGCTATGTGCTCCTCATTCCTACTGGTCTATAACCTGTGATGCAACACTGAAATTTCCCCACTGTGGGACGGATAAAGGATCTCTTAATCTTAATCTTATTCATATAAGGAAATTGGCTCTCAATAACCAATGTTGAAATTAGCTTCTTCCACATTCAGCAAACACTAAGGTGACATCTGTAAGATTATCTAAAGATCTGACAGAGGCCAAAAATACATGTAAGTCCAAACTAGTGAGAGAAACAAACCGTTTTAGGAACTAGTTAAATGGATTTATATAAAAATTAGGTACAGCGGCTTTATGCACCTACTGTAACACGGCTGCCTGTAACTGCAGTCACGCAGTTGGGAAGAACGTGAAAAGCTGAAAATCTGTCTCCTTTATTGAGCCTGTAGGTAGAGTTTGTGCAGTTCGTCCCGGAGAGGGGCGGTCAATCACGTTCACAGACTGCTGCGGGGCCCATATCTCAGGCACTTGTCAGCACGAGGGCCCTTAAATACGGAGCTCTCACTTCATGTCCACACATGAGAATTAGGGGCATTAGGAGTGTTGGCCGCGACAAGGTTAATAGTATTGCGCAGAAGGCGGGAGGTTTGGCGCGGTTGTGAGCGAGGCCGTCACATGTGTTATTCCACATGCTTATTTATGAGCCTGCGTAGTGTAGTGTGCTTTGACTGCTGTAGACTCCTGCACCTAAACAGGGATTATCTGTATTTTGAAAAGGCAAGAATCAAACACCATTACACATTCTCTTGAGCCTTCTGTCTATATTCTCTCATTTCAAACGGAGTTACATTATGACGACTATGGAGCGTTCACTATGATGACTATGCAGCATCAGGTTTAGGGAATTTCGCTGTTGTCTGTTGTCAAGATCCTTTTGTTGGTCAAACTACATCTTTCTCTTTATGAGAAAACATAGGAACCTAAACTCAGAACATTGTTTAAACATTATTCCCATCAAAAGCAGTTCTGCAGTTTTTTTAGCATAAACACACCCCTTCTGCCAAGGGTTGGGCAATAAATAAAATTTAGGCAATTAATCGGCTATTGAAAAAATTGAATTTGTGAAAAATGTGAAAAATATTAAATCAAATGAGGAATATTGTGAGAGTTCCAGCAGCACATGAATTATACTTGCAATATCAGCACAGTCTGTACAAGACTTTTATAATTCAGATTGGGGGAAACAAATTAAAAATAGTTTTGAAACTTGAAGATTGAGCGGGAAGATCAAAAAATATGTTTAAGGGTAAAGTGTGTCTTCGTGACTTTAATGAAAATCGATTTAAAACCGAAATTGTCCTAAGCAGGAAATGAAATTGAGATTTTACTTTTTTGCCATATCGCCCAGCCCTACTTCTGCCTAAATACAATGTTTTCAAATAAGTTTCTCAATGATTTTACTTTTCACAACGTTTCACAATCTTGACTTTGGACCTGCGCTTCCCGTCTCTGTTCCACCCCCGATTTTCATTTTGTTATTGAGCCACACTCCTCGACACCACCACCTTGTGGCTCGTTATACCGTCTTTCAAAACAAAAGTATTCCTCTTTCGTTTTACTTTTAAAGAGACAACTGTTATTGTTGTTATTAAACTTAATGTTTTGTGAATGATGTTATTTAAAGCCTGTAAATGTAAGACACGGTCATGTATCCATCTACATTGTAATCAGTTTAATTGAACATAACACCAGCCTGCCCAGGGACTACGGGTGGAAATTAGCATCTTTGCTATAACCTGGTACATGCATCTCTCCTTTTGTGTTAATGCTTAACTGTACACTGTCCCTGTTCAAATAAATTACATACAATACAATACTGTGTCCTTTCAAAAACATTGCACATGTTTGATGTGCAATTTGAATATATGAAAAACTGAAAAAGTGATTGATTCATTGCAACTAACTGATTATATCCTTTAACATGCTGCTAAGAGGTTTATGACTTTAATTATTCTTATATTATTTTATTCTGTAATGACTACAGAAAGATATGAAAATTGTGTTTTTAAACACATCTATATTTTTTTATGAAATCAATGTTCAAAAAGTCATCTCTATGAAACCCGCGCAAACTGACCCCTGTCCGCCCACCTTCAACAAGGGCACCGCCACCTTCTCGCTCTGCGCATGCCACGCCTTCAGCTGCGTATAGAGCACCCCACTGCCCATGCCTTGAGGTCCTGCAGGCCTGGACCTCATGGAGGAGAGTGTACTGAGAAGAGCTGGTTGATGAAGAGACAACATCGTGGCGTGAAAAAAAACGTTTTTGAGTAACAAGTCATTTCTATGAAGATGTTTGCCAGGGGCCTCACTTGAGATTTGCTTTGTTCAAATGTAGGAAAAATCCTATATTCATTGACCTTTCTGGACCAAAACACCTAATATTGATTGTAAGAATAATGAGCTATATGATCATCATAATAATTGTTATGTTTAATAAATTAAACATAGACTGTGTTTTAGGAGTGAGTAGCTTCAGGGCGCACCCTTTCGCTTTGTGTCAGGGTCCGGTTCGCCCTGTTGGTATTTATTTTCTGATAATGACCTGGGTCCTAGACATTATCCCTTACATACAGACCAGGATAGCAGAAAGACCTAAATGGTGTTACACCTACAGTAAACTCTCTATAGAGTTTGCTTATTAACTCATTGACTGCCAGCCCATTTCAGAACAGGTACTTCCTTATTGCCAGCCGTTTCTGATGGTATTATACTGATTTTTAAAGACCCACAGAATATTGTGTACTATGACTTTCATCAGCAAAAATAATTTTGTTTCTAGCTTGTTTCGTTCCCCTATAATCCCCCGTCGAGTAGAGGGAAGTTTTACTGAAATCACCAGAAAGCTGAGAAAAAAGAGGCACAACATGTGCATCTAGCTGTTTTCAAACCATTCAGAGAGCAATGCTGCCACCTGCTGGCTAGATAAAATATGGTCTCAAGCGAATCCCCTTAGATATTAGATATACTAGACATCTGGGAACATGAAAATAGCGGGAAAGGCAATTGACATATTAATGCGTCAATGGCACACAACGTATTTACTTTGACATATTTGTGCGTTAATGTCACATATTATGATTTTGTGTGTGTGTGTGTGTGTGTGTGTGTGTGTGTGTGTGTGTGTGGCAACCCCTTCTGTCTTGAGATCCCTGGCCAGTGACTGGAGAACCACTGGCCCTCCCACCTCCCAGAAGTCCGTGACTAAGGTGCTGATTGGAGGAGCAGCGGTGCACCTGGCCAATCCAGCTTCCCCATCTGGAGTCACTCTCCACTTAAAGGCGCTACTCATTTCCCCTACGCTCTCCTCCCACGAAGCCATCTATTTTTTTTTGCAATCTGATACGTATACAAACCTTAGCATTACCACAACTTCTTGTAAGCTGTACCACAATCACTGATGAAATGGTACAAAATCAACGCACTGCTAACAAAATATATAACTGAAAAACGCTAGTTTCGCATCGTAGTCCGAGCATAGGTAGTCCGAGGCGGTCCCGCTCCCGCAGGTTCTCAACCATAGACTGTAAGTCTCTCCAGAGGATACGATTTAAGCTATGTTCACCCAGGCTTGATTTCTTCTTTGATAATTTTTGCACTTCAGTTCCCTCTTCTCTTCCTCACTGTTGCGCCGTTTTGCTGTCTATGCAGTTACAGCAAGAGGAGTTATAGCCAATTCTGATAACATGCTACTGTGTTTACCAGCGCTGTAGAGGCTTCAGGACACAGTCTGTTCGTTGCAGCACCGCTCCTCGTTCTGTGAGTGGAGGAGAGCGAGCGTCACGCTAAGTCTCTACTCAGCACTTTTTACGGCCTGAATTCATACACAAGCTGAATCAATGAGCTCAAGCTTTCAATTAAATTACGGATTTTAATACAACTTGTGTGTAGTAATACACATTTTTATGAACTCAATAGAAAATAAATTGGGAATAGCTTCTTTAAAAAAGCCACACTCCACACCTGCCAGCCTGTGTGTGGCTGGTATGCCATTTGTCCTCAAAAAATTGTCTGTCACAAGGTGTGACAATGACTTAAAGACAGTTCTTATGGTCCGTATAGCTTTTGTTTGGTTTGTCTCTTTTTAGCTGTCACTTTGAGGTTTTATTTTTTTGACACTTTGCTTTTGTTGGGACTGCAGTCAGTTTAGTGTTTTGGTAACGTTGGGTTACTTGCTTTGCCATGAAACATCTTGTTATTTTTGCTACCTCCCTGACCCTAGCAGAGCTGGGTCGTAACAAAAGTGGGGGCCGGTCAGGGATCGAAACCCTGGATCTCTCACAGAGACCTCAAGAAGAGTTTGAGAAAAACTTTTTCCTTGGGCACGTCCCCATTGGGCTTAATTGGTACTTCATCATTATGACATCAGCTGTAGTCTGTTCATTGCTATTCACCCGCTGTCTCATTGTCTGTTTCATGACGTGATGATGGGATATCATGATATCCTTGTTGTCAACTAAATCATGTTTTCACATTCTAAAATATTAAAAGATAAGTGTGTTTTAAGTCCCCAAAAGTAAATAAAATACTTTGTAATTTTGAATATGGGGAAGACACATGGAAGTAGAAGTAGGATGAAAAAACACTTCTACAATAAGCTTGAAAAATAAATCAATAGACAAAACCAAACCCGAATTAACACAGATATCTCAGAATATCTTCAACTTCCAAATTACATTTCTTTGACGCTCGCCTTGCCAGCTGGAGATTGCGGCCCTCATGCTGGGACACGTGTCGGGAGCGGCTCACATCTGCAAAGCCAGACTGCATCAGGGAAGGAAGCCGCAGTTCATACAATCACCCATTGTCCGTGTGACGTCACCTCGTGTCTCCTTCCAAAGGTAATCACTCATGTGTTCAAAGATGTAGGCAGCCACGAAAGCACTCAACATCAAAATGGCATGCAGTAATTAAAGCCCTCCTGTAATTTAACTGAAAACAATGAAGTTACTCAAAAAAATACATATATTTATGTTTGAAAACAAGTTAATTAAACTTACTAAAATGGCCATTAAAAATCTGAAAGTAAACTTGTTCTCAAAAGTTATAATTACTAAAATATGTCTACAATGTGTGACACTACAATTTTTTTATTTTTAAATCATTGACAGAAAAACAGTGCAGTAGTGTGTCATGTGTCCTTTTAAATATTCATGCAGAACGAATAAATATCCTGCTCTTACGTTTGGATTTGGTAAAAGTTGTTGTTGTGAGCTGGAACAGAGAGTGGACATAGCTCATGATGTGAAAGTTGGAGACGCACTGCTCTCAGCCGTCACACACTTGAGTGACATCGTCTGCCGTCTGGTCTGGACTGAAATATAATTGGCTGAGTGGGAGTGGTGCAACGCATGTGCAAGCCCCTCTCACATCACGTCTTCCACCTTTGCCCCGGGACACGCCAAGCCCCCGCCAACTGACCCGCGTCCGCCCGCGACAAGGGCACCGCCACCGCCTCGCTCTGCGCAGGCCGAGCCCCCACGCCTGGAGCTGCATACAGAGAACGCCATGCCTGGAGCTGCACATACAGGACCTTATGCCTTGAGGTCCTGCAGGCCTGGACCCCATGGAGGAGAGCATGCTGAGGAGAGCTGGTGGGTATCAAAGGACATGTATTCTTTGTGGGCATCACAGAGATAGCTTTTCTGTGTACGTTTCCTCCAGGTGCTCCAGTGTCCCCTACCATAACGTTCTTTATAACCGCGTTCCTTCATGTTACTTCATATCATAAAAATCTTGTAAAAATGTATGTGTATAAGATTTATTTTCTCATTTCTGGCACTCAATTGCAGTGTTGCTGATCCTACATCAATACTAAGCCATTTTCATTGTTCTTGTTTCTGTCAAAACCACAATTAAAGAACACTCCAATCAAAAACCACGTAAGTTTCTGGCTCTAAAACGGTTTGGTTCTATTACTAGTTTAAACATGTATGTATCCATGGGCAACAGTGGATCAGTTAGTAGAGCGTTGGCCTTTGAACCTGATGATCGTGGGTTCGAGCCCACCGTGAGACCTTTTCCACTGACTCCCACTGATGTCTGCTGTTATCCTTGCAAGACACTTTGCCCATGAGGAGTGCGCAATGTGAATTAATAACCTGCATGCCTTGATGTGTATTCAAATGGAAATTTCCCCACTGTGGGACAAATAAAGTTAAAAGTCATTTATTTCTATGATTATCTCCTCAAAGTGGCACATTTTGCACATCTTTCATAATGGCAAAAAAAGTGTTTTATGTTGTTACTATAAAAATTGTACAGTCTTTGTATAATTTGCAGTTTTACAATATATAATCAATATTTTTTGTTTATCATACAACAGAAAATATTCTTATACACACTTATAAGAGTAAGTGTGTAATAGAGTAATAAGAGTAATAGAGTAATAAGTGAATTGGGTGCAGCTCTGACTGCCACCCCCCCCCCCCCCCCCCCCCCGACCCAGAAATGGATTAAGGGGAAGAAGATGGATGGATGGAGTAATAAGGGTGTAATAAGGGTGTGATAGTCTAACAAGGGTGTAATAGTGTAATGGGGTAAAAGTTTAATATCAGTTCTTTCACTTCCATGATCTTCATAATGATGAGTCATCACATTACCTTTGATACTTCTACCTTTTGTAGTATTTGCAGAACTACGAGTATGTAGTTCTGCATTCGATACATTTTGCATTCACATACTAAAGTTTCTGTTGTTATGCAGAATATAGGCCTAAAGTGAGGGCCTATCTAGATTTTGATTTGTTTTCTCTCAAGTGTTAGTTATAAAATGCAAACAAAACTTACACAATTCTTCTACATGATTTTCCATTTAAATTCAACTTTGTGTTAGATTTGACTGTCAAAGCATCCTCTATGATATTCCATGTATAATTTGGAGTATAAAATCTTTCTATGGAATATTTATGTTTTTTGACTGTCGAATGTGTAGTTTATAAATTTCAAGCAAGCCCTTAAAAACGTTTGCAAAATATGTAAATCAGGACCACCCTCACTCAACCAATAAGCTATCAGCCCAAAAATGCAAAAAAAAAATTATAGGATGAAGATTGATTTGTGCATTCAACTTTTACAAGACTCTTTATTTTGATATTTTTGATTTATTGTGATATGTATGAAACGAAAAAGTTAGTTACCATTTAACTGTAAATATACAAACTGTATTGAGATCGAACGGTAAAAAATGTGTTGGTGCTGTAATAGGTTCTACTAAAGCGGCCAGCAGCCTGTTCTTCACTGTGT